GATTCATCTCATATTACAGAATTGAATTGAACATGATATTTAGCTATTTCTGTCTTGCAACTATTTCTATCCTTGGGACAATCTTTTGACACAGACAAAGTTGAACTTGGAAAAGAAAGGCAAGATTAGTTGAAAGGAATAGAACATGAAGTTACAGTGGTTCATCAATAAAACAGATAACATGAAGATAATGATGATGATGAGGGAAAAGTGGAACAATAGGTAAAAGCCAAAAAGAGTTTGGAATATAAATGTTGTGAGAAAACAGGTAAATGGTGAATTGAATGAGAAGCAAAAGACAAGTTGAAAGATAAACCTTGTTATCAGATGAATTATATTTTCAGGGGAAAAAGCGAAGCAAAAATATTCTGTCGAGTGAAGCAAGTTGATGAATATAAAAAGACAGAGTAAAGACAAGCTTGTTAGCTAAACAATGAGAATTTTTTCTTGCCTCTTGTCGCTCTCGCTCTCTTCATTGCTTTACTTTTGCATAACATTGCTGTTTGATCCAAATAATGTGAAATGATAACTGATGGAACAAGAAAAGGACGAAAGAAGAAAAGTAATCTTGAGAATAGCTCGAGAATAGTTGAGCTTTTTTTCTCTTCTCTTCATCCAAGTACAATTGATTCTATTACAAAAAGAATGTGCTCAAATGAAATTTCATGAACAACACTGAACAAGAGGAAAGCAAAGGGAAAAAGGTAAAGATAACTGTAGAAGCTAACTTTTTGTAAAGTTGAATAACAATGAAAGAGGATGAAAGAGTAATGGTGAAAAGTGAAACAAGTAAATGTTGAAAAACAAATTTTATTGATATTTTTGTATTTTCTGCAAATCTATGGCTTACAATAGTCAAGAGTAAATGTTGATACAAGAAAATTTGAAAACATCTAAATAACACATTGAAAGATACAGATGTAAAAAAGGATAAGAGTTTCACTTGAAATTTAAATTTCTCTCTATTTCGCTTTCCATTCATTTCTCAATCTCACATGCAACCTTTAAAGATGATCAAATTGTTGAAAAAGTTTCAAAAACATTGTCGAGATGCAAAAGAATTGACTTTTCAACTTTATTGTTGGTTTTAACTAAGTATTGTTACTGCTGTTGAGTTTACAACTGAAAAGCAAATTTTCAAAATATTCTATCCTGGTTGTTGAATTCGTTTGAGAAATTTTCTACTCGAGGTTAAGATCGTCTTGAAATTTCGACTTTTGATATTATCTAATAGTTTTAGTGCGACGAGGAGAAACCTAACTTTCTCATTGGAAAGCTCAAGCTTAGTTTCTGTACGGAAAAGGTGGAAAGTCAATTGAAAGAGAGAATGATTGAAAAAGCAAAGCAAGAAAAATTCATGTATTAATACGATGTTTGGAAACCTAAATGTTGATACAATTTGTTGTTGTAATTCTTGAAGCATTCATCAATCTCAACTTGGTTTTCATTTCGGAGTTTCAAGATCATTCAAGGTTATTCGTTTATTGACCTTGAAATGTCCTTTGAAGGTCGATTTAAGTAATATAAAAGTATCGGAATGTTGGCGGAAATGTTTTGTAGATTGTCCTTTTATTTTTCCTTCTAAAGCAATGAAACAGAATTATCTGAAGAATGATGCTGATTAGAAGAGATTATTCACCCTCCAGTAATATTCATTATTGCACCTTGATGTTATCATTGTTGTAACTAATCATCAAGTAAAGACACAATTGTTCTTCTTTTTCATGCAATTCTTCTCTTCTTCCTTTGGCAATTCAATCCGATTAGTAGATGAAAATAAAAGATAACCTTGCATCATTGGATACATTTGAAAGATAAACTAAATTTAGACTCAAAAGTTTGTCATAAAAGGTAAAGTAAACAAATGAACTTGACGTGAAGCTTTTTATTTAAAAATTTTTCCAATTCTTTTAACCAGGTCTGAAAAAAAATCATAACCACAACCAGAAAAACAGTAAACTTTATTTTCCAAGTTGAGCCATTATTCATAATAAGCCAATTCCAACGGTTCAACTCGATGGCTTCAATTCATGGTAATTTACTTTTCTTCACAAGGAAACCTCTCGAACTGATCAATCGATAATGAGTAATGAATGAAGATATTTAATTATCATTGAGGTAAAAATGTCGAACACAACATTCATAGCAGACAACTTCAGCCCAATGCTTATAAATGACTGCATCTAATAAATACTCTTGTTCAGTAAAAAGTTTCAACAAATGACAAAATGAATTTATAAATATCCATCTAAAAGCATAAAAAATTTCCAAAAAAAGGAAATGCTCAAATCGAAATGCTGGCAGCTAATTCCGTCTTCGATAAGGCACAATGTACTGATAGCGACCAATGAAATCTCGATATCGATTGATCAATTTGTGAGGTTCTCTTGTCAAAGTAAACTTTTCAAATGCAGTTGGAAAAAGAAGCAAAGTTTATCGCTTTTGTAAGGTTGCTAAAGTTTCCATCATTAAAACTATCATTGGAATAGCGTTTAATCATTCAGTTCTTTTATTGAATAGAAAGCCATTTATTTGTCCAAGAATTCGAGAATTGGTTGTCTGAGAAGAAAAAGAAAAAACTCGCAAAACTGAATCGAAAGCTATTCATAACCAGACATTCAAATGAAAAGCATTTTTCTTTTCGCTCTGCCAGACTCAATTCATGAAAAGAGTGACACTTTTTTGTTTCCCTGTTGAGCAAAGGAAAGAAAAGAGGGAAAAAAATCCTTTTACTTTTCAGCTTCGAGTTGAAATTGTTTGATAGTAAATGTCACTAAAAGGTTATCGAGATTTGAATGGTTTGAATGAAAAGTTAAACATTATTTTTATTCACTTGAAAAGAAGAAAATGTTTTTCCAATTAGAAAACTTATCGACGAACAGCAAAATGGACCAAAAGTAATCTCATTATAATGAAATGTGTTCATGTCCATGGTCATGTTGAACAAGAATGGAAACAATTCTTGTTCATCTGGAAAGAATCGAGTTTCATCTTTTTACTAACATATCCGGAACTAAAATGAGAACAATTTCAAATCCTTTTTTCTCGGGAATTAGTAACAAGATTAAGCTGAATTTTTCAGAATAGACTAAGGGCATATTGATCTGTATAAAAACCAAAGATGGGCTTTCTAGTATCATTAGTTCGCAAAATAATGAAGTTGAAACAAAGTGAAGTTGCTAGTGTTTGTGCCAATATCTATGAAAAATTCAAAGACGAGTCAGATCGGAAAGCGATAATTGCGCGTTTTTTGAGTTTGGGGATTCCAACAGCTACTGCATATCGTCAGTATGCAAAGCTATCGATTGGTGATAACTCAAGAAAATTTGGTACTGGTGCGGCTGGATCTAAATTCACCGATTCGAACAAGCAAAAAATTCTTCGAATGGTCGATGGAAAAGTTTTTCGGGGTTATGCAGCTGTCGGAAGAAAGATTGGTGTGGATGAAAAGACTGCTAAGAAATACATGATGCAAATGGGACTAAATGTACATAAACGCAAAAGTGTGCCTAAAGTAACACCTGATCAAGCTAAACGGCAAAAAACCAGGTTACGGCGTTTAAGGTACTCTATTGGTGAAAAAACTTTGGTATTGGATGACGAAAGTTATTTCGATTTGGAAGGATATAATTTCTATGGTGCAGATAGATATGCATTTAAAAATCTTTCAAATGTTCCTGATGCGGTCAAATTTCGTGAAAAATCGAAATTTGCACCAAAGTTGATGGTCTGGATAGCTATTGGTGTACACGGGTACTGTAAACCCTACTTTCACTTAACGAAAGGCGCTTTGAATGCAGATTTATATTCAAAGGAATGTTTGAAGAAAAGACTGATTCCCTGGCTAAATGCAAATTATAAAAATGAAAAAGCGCTTTTCTGGCCTGACTTAGCGAGCTGTCATTACGCTCGAACATCACTCGAAACGCTAGAGGGCGCTGGAATCGATTATGTTTTGAAAGATGACAATCCACCTAATTGTCCACAATTAAGACCCATTGAAGATTTTTGGGCAAATTTAAAAGGCAAAGTATTTTCAGATGGTTGGATACCAAGAAATAAACAAGATCTGATCAAAAGAATCAAAACTAAACTGTCAACATTTGATCAAAGTTATTTTAACAATTTAATTGGTAACTTAAAATCAAAGATAATTAAAGCAGATAGAGAAGGATTAAATGCTTTAATCCATTAGTCCTGCCTAGAGCAATATTCCTTTCAAAAATAAAGTCGCTATGACACTCAGTTCCTGAGAAATTTAACATTGAACTCATTCTCATTTTAGTTCCGGATATGTTATTCTAATCGATATTTCTGCTTTTTTCTTCTATTGATTTCTTTTTATTTCACAAAAAAAACATTCATATTTGAGTATCATATAGACTTTTGTTTTTTGCTTCTTGTTTTATTGTCATTTATGCACTTAACTCATTTTGCCTTTTCTCGTAAAGTTGAAAAGCTTTTGGCATAATATTGTGTTACCAACTGCTGTTGATATCAACTTGAACTTAAACATCAATCCCAGTGCAATTAGATTCGAATTGTGAATCGCCCAAAGAAATGGTTAATGTTTCCAGGCTAAACTTAAATTCAACCGGATAAATCAACAATATTTTTCATAATTTGGAATATTTTTTTCCAAATCAAATTGTTGATTCTAAATTCATTGTTCATTAAAAGCTTCACAATGAGTCAAAAATCGATCGAAAAAATCATCACTTGGATCAAAAGAGTAAACTCGAAATTCACCTTCAAACTCAATTGAAATTATCCAACAAGATCGAGATTTCGGACGAAAAAATGTGAACTGATGTAAACGGAGCGAATCCCGATCAAGTTTAGAAAAGCTGTTGAGAGAAGTTTTTTCCATGATTTTCGAAATGACAGCACAATTCGAAAGTCGGATTATTTTTAAAATGTTGAACTTTCAGGTGAAGAATTGAAGAAAATTTATTCGAAGAAATTTTTCAGTTGAAAAGATTAAATTGAGATTCACTTACCTCCTACTGTTACACAAACCAAACGAAGTTCATCGCCTTCATTATATGGACCAATCAGTCCTCTTAACTCATTTCCTTGAACATCAGTTATTATTGGTTCTTCTGGTGGAACTGGTTCCATGAGAATCGAAAAGTAAAAAAAGAACAAGAAAAATGAGTAAAGAAAAAGCAAGCCCAAGAAGTTGGTAAAAAAATTGATGACTAAAGTAAAGGGAAAAGGGAAAAGGTGGATTCCAAAAACATGAACAGAATAATCAATTAACTATCAAGTTGAATTTAATCAGCAAAAAGCGAGTGATAAATTTTTACAACACGTTATTCGACTCTTCTAATTGACTCACATCATCATCATCATCTTTATCACATCATAATTCTTGCTCATCATCATTATCTTGATCAAACGAAAAAAAGAAGAACAAAAAATTCATCGATTTCATGTTCTATTCATGTAGAGTTACTGTTGACTTCAATTGACCTCCCACTCGACATTTAAACACAGAATTTTTGATTCTCTTTTCCCTCAGCCTGGAAACACTCGATGATAATCAAGCAATTATAGCAATCAATAAACAATTAGAGTTCTATTAATAAATTTTCGAGAAAAAAAACATTCTTTTGTAGTGACGAGACTGATTCATTTTCATTGCCATGAACGTGATCCTTGGCTACCCTACGTGATGGTCGAAACTGAATGTTTATCAATATTTACTCAACCCTTTACACAACTCGACGCTATCCATTTCTTACCATCAACTGTTCATTAACATTCCAACTGGCGACTCGAACATTTCTTGTACTTTACCACAATTGGTTTCGTTCCGCTTTCATTTTCCTTTCCTTGTTCCATGCAATCATTTCTCTTTGCCTTCCGATTCCATGATGAATATTAATATTCATTTGTTTTGTACTTTTTTCACTTTTTTTCTTCTACTCTCTTCCTTCATGATAATCATGATTTAACGCTAACCATTTGTACAACACTCATTGTTATTATTCTTATAAAGTAATATATTTATTTATGAGTTAACAAGAAGAGAAAAAAAGAATCGAATAAAGATTATGAAGAAAAGATAAAAAACACGGAATTTTGAACAGTTGATGTAAATATCTTTTATGCACAAATCTTTGTTTCTAATATTGGAATCGAGTGAAAGGGAAAATGTTGAAATTCAAAGGTTAACCTGTTCGGTAACATTTAACCTTTCATTATTATTAATGAGCGGAACAATGTAAAGGGTGGAACAAAAGTAGGGTCACAAATTTTTGATCGGTTTATCTCATATTAGAGGTCAGTTTGAATTTTTAAAGAGATTGAACTAAACTGCTTAGATTCTTGGCTTTCATTTGATACTAAATTTGCACATTTTTATTCAAACCATAGCTAGTAAACGGAAATCTAACGAACTCCCTTTTAATCAAGGCTGCCAATTGCCATAGAAAAGTGAAAAAAATCGATTGTGTTGACCGAGCGTTCTAACCCTCCCAACCACCCCCAAGCTCGCTCAATTGAGGAATTTTGGGCTTTTTGTTATGCCGAGTATTCGCAAAGGTCAACACTCCTAGACAAATGTGTGATTTCACCAAAATATGGACTAATATATCGAAAAAATTTATATCATTTTATAAAAATCCATCGAATTGCCTGTTTTCATTATTTAATTATTAAGTCTCAAAGTTTGTGGCTCTACTTTTGTTCCACCCTTTAATTAACCATGTCTAGACCTCATCTTGAGTGTAACCTCTTTTGGGTCCAATTTGTTCGTCATGATAAATTGATAATAAACTTGCAAATTATACATGAAACACTCTCGTCTGATGCATTGATGAGAAAAAATGAATTGATCAATTTTACATGATTAAATTGAACAGTTGCTTTTCTCTTGAAAAGGTGCAAAGCTTTTCGTTTAACAAATGAGCTGACATTTGGTTACGTCAAGCCTTTGGTTAGACAAGATTGGTAAATGTTGCTGTCTGCTTCACTGCTTGCTTTGCAATTCAATTTGTTCAATTAATTTTGTTGGTCAAAAAATTTAAACAGTAAAATGATAAATCTTTCAAATTGCTTCTCTGGTATAAATATTGGTAAAATTATGCAGTCAATGAACTTTTTTTTTCTCAATCTTTTTTCCCTCTTCTTTCAGTGTTGGAAAATGCAAAACTTGAAAATCTTTCAATGCAATTTTCTCTTGAATGTAAATTTTTCATGGCTTTTTTCAGCTCGAGATATTTCATTCTATTCATGCAAAATGCTTCAACAGTTCGATATACTAGTAATTTGATAACATTTGTGAGGCGTCAAAGCAAAGAAACGCTTCAATTTAAAATTCTTATCAAAGTTCTCTACATTTGCATGACTTTGTTTCTAACAACTTGAGATAAATATCCGTTTCAAGTTTTCTTCATGATTATCTTTTCTATTCAATTTTCAATGTTATCTTCATGAAAGTATCTATTATTGAAGTGACGAAATGCCAAAAGCATCTGAAAAAATCTTATCAATTTTAGATTAATTTCGATTTCGATTTTTTGTGGGATCGCTTTGAACTGCTAACGAGTCTATCTTCATTGCGCAATTAAACTTTTACTTTGATAGCTTTTATTCGAAAATTCATTTCATGGATATTAGCAACTCTTATTGGAGCATAATTTATGATTAAAGTCCTAAATTGAATAAGTCATGGTTGAAAATAGGCGATAAAAAGTGATCTTGAAAAACATTGATTTCTGCCTTTTGCTTTTCTTCCAATAACATAATGACTTTTGTCATGACTGTTGAAGCATTAAACTTGAGGTTGACGGTTCAAGTTTCAATCAATGTAAGGTTAAGTTAGATTAACTTGGATTAGGGGAGAGAGAGAGGGAGAGGCGAACAAAAAATGGTCCAATTTTTAAGAGAAATTACCAAACTTCTAAATCAGATGTTAACAGAAATGACAAATCGAACAGTAATAGTATAAATTGTACTTACCGATAACTTTAAGACTAATTACAGTGTTTAAAGTTCGAGCTTTCTTAAAGTCAACTCGACAACGATAGACACCAGCATCCATCAATTTAATGGGATCAATTTGTAAAAATGCTGGTCGATTGTGTAAATTGAAATACGCTCGACCTGAAGAAAGTAATGGGAAAAGAAGAAGAAAAAAGTTAATAGAGAAATGAGAGAAAAGGCAGAAATGGAAAATGTAGAAAAGAAATAAAGTCCAGAGAAAAGAAAGAAAAAGGGCAAAGAAGAGAAATCAGTGTAAAAAGACGTAAAGAGTGCAAAAGGAATATCATGAAATATTTGACGAAAGAAGAGAAAAGAGTGGAAAAAATGAATCGACTGAATCATGATGCATCATCATCTTAAATTTTGTTGGTCTAAAAGAGCAATAAAAAGAGTGAGAAATGGTTTGAACTCTGAAAACAATCAATGAGCTTAAATTGATCTTCTCATGAGCTTACAATATTTTTCTTCCTCTTCATCCATTTGCCATGAGTTACAATACAGGTAGCAAAGGAAAGGGAACAAGAAAGGTTAAGCAAGAGAAAAAATGAGAAGAAAAAAATTTTTTCTCCTTACCCTTCTTGTTAAGAAGTTTCACTCCCAGTGCTTTTCTTTGCACTTTTACACCTCCTTCCTGCTAATCATCATCAACAACAATACTCTTCATCTTTGTCTCTTTTACCATCATCATCATCATCTTTACTCATTTCACATATCGTTTACCTAACAAAAGGCTATTCTATTGGAAGCGATTTTTCATTTGGCAAAAGACCATATTTAACTTACGCTTAACGTCTTATCTTCACCCTTACTTGCCTCTTCATCATAATCATCATTTTTCGGTTTTTTCTTCTTCTCACCATTTTTTCTCGCCTTCACTTTCTATTATACACAATGGAAAGTTTATCATGAAATAATCCATCATTGAGTTTTGGCTGAAAACTAAACACCAAAAAGATCGTTTCTCCCCTTTTTCCCCCATCAAACCTCTTCATCCTCACCATCATAATCATTGTCTTCTTAAGGAGAATAACTCAGTTTAAGAAAATTATTTTGCTGTGATTACTGGGCTACGCCTTTAACTAGGAATTGTCACAAATAACAAACAATCCATCTTGCTTAAAATGAGTTTGTTATCACTTTTACTTGTTCTCACCCTTTTCCAAGTTGATTTTCTCGAGTAAATTCTGAACAGAAAATGAAGGGAAAAGCCTGAGAGAATGATGAAGGAAAAAAGTAGGCAATAAATGAGGCAACAGAAAAACATGAAAGGTAAATCTTTTTTTTTCGTCTTCTTTTCTCACTCGCAAATAAAGTTAAGCAAAGCTTCAAAGTCAGTTGAGTTTCCACCACGAATATCAATTGATAGCATTACTAACTTTCAATCATAACAATATACTTAAACGATTATCGAGCTTCTTAGTTTTCGATTTTCACTTTTTTTCTCATCACATTTTCCTTCTCTCTTGTGCTCATCTTTATCTGTACTTTGCAAAGTAATTTTGTGCTATTATCCCATCTTGAGCTTAGGAATAATTGATTAACAAAACTTTACAATTCATCCCGTTTTAAACTCTTTCGACCGACTTGGTTCGATATTGAATGAAATGGAAATATTTGTGGTTATCCTTGCTCGAATGACTACGATTCATTGAAATGATGAAGATGATTTTACTATTTATTGCAAATTGGCTTCACTTTTTTATTCAACCAAACATGAAATTCATTTTAAATTCATGTGATATCATGTTTAATGTGGTAAATGATAAACACAAGTAAGGTATGAAAAAAGCATTTAACTTGTGAAAGAAAGTTGAAGAGGAAGAAAAAAAGGTTTACATCATATGTTGATATGTGTAAAGTTTAATGGCAAGAAAAAGGTTGAAATACGTGTTGAGAAGAAAAGGTGAAAATTATCTCATCAAAAGGGAAAAATAAATAAAATGCAATTCAACGTGAACAACATTTTGTTTCACTTTGAAAGTCAATCCTCTAAAGGGATTCTGCACCTCGCAAAGTTTAACTCAATCTTTTATTTAGAATCAACAATGCAGTTTTATTGCAAAATAAAAAGCATAATTGAAGCTTTTAAGAAACCTAAAAAGATGTAAATCTAAAAACTTAATACTCAATTCGACAACAAATTATTTAATCGTCATTTATTTGCTTCCAACCATAAAAATGGATTTGATTTAATATTTTTCCGTTAGTTTATTTAGCATTTTTAGTTATCAGAATTTGAAATTGATTATACAAGCTGAGCCACGATCATGACTAATCGTAAATTTCTTTTAACCACCCAAGCCAACCGTCGTTTCACGGTATTGTCCACCGCCCAATCCAACACATCTACCAAATCAACTAAATCAAACAACGTCACTTTGTAAAGAAACTTTTTTCAACAAAATTGTCCATCATTTTAGAGTGGCTTTTTTCACACGTATTCAGATACCAATGACTGCATAATTTCAAACCTCCATTTATCCGGTGCATGGTTTTTCAGGGACAAGCCTGCTCTCCTTTGACAGTCTGCCTCTGCGCCATTGATCATAATTAGACACCGAAGTTAGTCGATGTAGTCAGTCAGTCAGTCGCAGAAATTTCGACTAAGTCGAAGTCGATACGTTCATCGACTATCGACTAAGTCGACTCAATAACATTTGACCAAAAAACAGCAAATTTAGTCTGTCACAAGGATTTGAGAGGCTGAGCAAAATCATAAATTCGTTTATTTTTAAAAAGACAACATTGCTGTCAGCTAAAATTCAACAACCAGCGATTAGTGAATTCAAAAGGTTAATGTGTTCCGTCAAAATGAGTATGAATGACATTATTCATCATAATAACATTCAAATTGCTAAATCAAGCTGCGTAATAGAAGAGTTGGAAATGATCAGCAAAGCCAAATACACTTTCACCAACAGACAAGCTTTAATCCATGCTTAGTATACTCATCAAGAAAATCGAAAGAAATGTGACGAAAAACAAAAGTTCCTCGAGAAAATTTATGATTTAGATTCTAAGACATCCTTACTTCTGAACTTAATCAAAAGCCAAAGTATTGACACCGCGCAACTCAGGCAACTAATTCAAAGAAGCCAAGATACAATCAATGGGCTCAAATATTCTTCAATCATTCCTGTTTGCAATCTCGTAACTGATAAACAAGAGTTGGTTTGTTCACAGAATTCCTCTTCATCTTATGGGACCCAAAAAAGTAAATATTTATTGTGAAACATTCATTCTAAGCAATTATAACAATTTTGACTATTTTTCAGTCGGTCAATAATCAAAGTCGACTAAGTCTACTTTTAGTCAGTCAGTCGCCATGTATTCATAAGTCAGTCAGTATCGACTGACTTCGGTGTCTAATCATAATACCCTACCCCAACCCTACCCTATCAGTATAAATGAATGATTGAAATGTTTTTTTTGAATTTAAATAAACTTTTGAATGGAAACACACTTAAAAATAAAATAAATACAGCACAAAGGCCGCAGCTTGCATGTTTTCTTTTATGTTCAGTTGCTCTTGATTCGATCCATAAAGTATTCGGAGCCTTGAACTTTCCAGGAGGGAAGCTAAAAGTCGCGATCACGGCTAAGACCAATAGGGTTATGGATTATTCCTTTTCGTCCAGTTTATTATGGACGCCTGTCAATACAATTTCTGCATGATTCCGTGCAGCAGCAGATAGTACAGCTTCGGTATTTGCATGGTCTTTGAACAAAATTTTTTAGGCATACAATATTAGATTCTTATTTCTTGATCTCTTGAAATATGATTATTAACAATCGGCTTGAATACAGCCGACGTTTACATCTTTCGAGTCAAAGTAAATGTTGAGCATGCTAACGAGGATCAGAAGCTTATATGCTCAAAAGGCATTTTACGTTTATATATTTTTGAAGTCTTCTGCTTTTATGGCAACAGTTGTCTTCGACACCGCGTCAGTCAGGCAGACGAAAGAGCTGCATGCATTAATGATGGAATAGACAGAGATAGTTAAGGAATTTCCAGCAGATGAGATGCCAGTTGATTGATAGTCAATCCAAGTTGAGTTTTATTTTACACAATCAGGTGAATGGTTCGACTAAGCCTTGTCGAATTTTGCAACAATAGCAGAAAATACGTCAGAAGCATCAAGACTAGCAGCAATTTTTGTAGCATTTTGAAAGTATAACTTAGCTTAGTCATACTTTAAGATCGTTTTCTTTCCATTTACTCAGAAGCGGACGATTCTGCCAAATTGGACTATCAAAAAAACTCCCTTGTCCAAGAAAAACACCAGTTCATGTCAGAAGCGGACTTTTGAATGTTTCCTTCAATCTTAGTTGCTAGAGAGATAAAATCACTCCAACTAATCGTAGTTCTGAGTAACATGTAACACTTAGAACATAAGATAGGTGAAATGACAAGCAGAGTGTTACACGCTTAGTTACCAATACAAAGTACATTAGTGCAAGAATTGATCAAAAATTAATCAGTTTGCATACCGGGCGTTTTTTCATTTTACGGCTTCATGCAGGCATTACTCACGAACAGTTAGTACTACAGACTTAAGACTTGAACCATAAGCTTATTCAGATTGCCAAATTCGAATGCTCAAGGTTATTCAAGGTCAATTCTTTATTTGACCTCTAATTGACATTGAAAGGTCATTTTCTGAAATCGTTCTCTGAAAAATTTTTCTGATAGTCAGATCTTCATAACTCATACTGACTAAAGGATATGAGTCATCCCTTAACGTTCATTTGATCAGGAAAAATTCATTTATCTTTCTAATAGTATGAGTTATGAACATGAATCTGGCCAGAAAATGACCTTTCAATGTCAATTAGAGGTCAAATAAAGAATTGACCTTGAATAACCTTGAGCGTTCGAACTTATAATTTTGCAATCTGAATAAGCTTATGGTTCAAGTCTGTTGTTTGTAGTACTAACCGTTCGTGAGTAATGCCTGCATGGAAGCGTAAAATGAAACAAACGCCCGGTACCGGAAACTGCTCTGGTTAGAAGCATTACTCTCTCACGTTGCTGATAGCCTAGTCACACCAACAAGTTCGGGCAAGCTACCTGGCTTTATAGTTAAATAAATTGCAATGTTGCAATTAGTATTGAA